TGCCCCATGTAGCGTGGGGGCCTCATGTGGCAAACGAGGGGCATGCCGATATAGGGATTGCCCCGTAGATTCCTCATAAAAACCCCACCAAAAAAAGTGGTAATACTAAAATGAGGATTGCCTTATGGGTTTTTCATATGGGCCTTAAGGGGCAAACCTCACATGTATAAACTTACACATTCTTACTTAAGAGCAAACAAATTTTACAAATAAGTGATGTATGTATATATTTCTCCAAATGAAGATATAAATTGTATTGAAATTTGTGGAAAAGTACTGCCAAAAAAAATCTATATCCATGCGATGCTAAATATTAAAAAATGTATAGTTTCTGCAAACAATGAAAATATCGCTACCCGTAAAATCATAGAAGTTGATTAAAATAATATATTATACCGTTGCTACATGTGTAAAAGTGAATATTGTGAGCATTTTTTGTTTTTCAATTTGTTTTTTGTTTTGCCGATTTTAAACACCATACCTGTTACCTTATCTAACATACGTTTTTAATCTACTCTGTTCTGTGAAATGCATTGTTTATGTTTATATTTTTCAACGGATGTTGAACACTATTGCTTTCTGTCTAGCGTCTAGCCCAGCAACCCAGCATTAAAAAATATTATTATTAGCATACATAAGATTATTAGTTTAATTTTAATTTCTGACCTCACAATTCGGTTCGACCTACGCACAGTAATTTTAGAGTAATAACAGTTGTAAAAAAATCATCCCCATGAATACTCATAATAGAGCATTAAAAACGGTTGCGGATTACAAATGTAGGTAGATTTATCAAAAAAAAAAAAGAAAAAAGAGATCGGCATAGCGCCTTCGCGTACTGTTTTAAAGTGCAGGAACATATCAAGAAGCTAATGAGTGTCAGTTGGAATATTTGCGGATTACAAATATAGGTAGATTTGTAAAAAAAAAAGAAAAAAGAGATTGACATTGTTTTAATGTGCAAGAACATATCAAGAAGCTAATGAGTGTCAGTTGGAATATTTACTTATTCTACACAAAGCGAAGAGAGAGCATAATCGAAGGCTGCTGATGATGTGAACCTTTTTATAAAAACATTTCAGCATTATTCCGAAAATGAGTGTAAATAAGGGTAAGTAAAATTACCATTAAACTTGTCTTAATTTAAATCCTTCTTCAATATTTTTAGCTTCTTCGAAANCACGATGCCGGAGTCGAATGTTTCGTCAGACGAGGAGCAAGAGTCGACCGTGCCCACGTGCGACGTTTGCCGTGTTGAAATCGACTTGCTAAAACCGATTAAACATGCAACCTGCGATGCCTGCAGGTGTCTCGTTCATTTTGATTGTGATGATATCTCTGCAACCGACCAGAGAAGCCTCGCTCTAAAATCGAATCGGAAGCTAAAATACTACTGCAACGATTGCTCCGTTGGCCTTCGTGGAGTTCCAAAAGTTCTCAAGAAAATTGCCGCCATTGAAGCCACGGTGCATAAACTCGATAAATTCGCCGACTCCATGACACTTTTTTGCACCGAGGTGAAAACTGAGATAGAGGAAATGAGGTCCAGGATTGATGTTTTGGAAAAGCGTCCAACTGTGGCAGGGAGTAGCAACCTGACTATATCCGGAATTGTTGAGGAGATCGCAGCGAGACAGTCAAAAGAAAAGAATCTTTTTTTCTATGAAGTGGCGGAATCTCAGAGCAAAGACATTGACGTACGCATAAAACATGATGAGCAGCTTGTGTACACGTTATTGGAGGCCCTGGAGGAACCGAATGTGAAATTTCTGAAAGTCATTAGAATTCCATCAAAAACATCTCCCCGTCCACTAAAAGTTATTTTTGAAAACAAAGACACCGTCATGAAGCTCTTGAGGAAGAGGTCAGCTAACAGACAGAAGGTCAAGTTCCAGGCCGATTTCACCAAATCCCAGACTGAGCACTACAAAAACATCAAGCGCGAATTACAAAAGCCTGAGAATCTAGGGAAAAAGCAGATTAGGTTTTCTTTTGGCGTTCCTAAACTCGTGGATGCTCCGTCGGTCTCCGCCGGTAAGAAAAAAGATGTCCACAACGACACTAACCAAGCAAAAAACGACCGTTCCACCTCTATTATCAGAACGTGAGGGGTCTCAAAACGAAGCTGAATTCTCTCCTGGATATCGAGGCGCAACCCATTCAACCTGACGTCGTGTTGTTTACAGAGACTTTCCTGGATTCTGGTATCCACGACCAAGAACTCAACCTACATAACTACCACATCTTCAGGAGGGACAGAGACAAAATACAAACTCAAAAAGAAACCGGAGGAGGTGTGTTGATAGCGGTACATAAGCGTCATAAAAGTATCCTTTTGTCACAACAATTCGGATCGACTGAACATATCTTCATACGGGTTTTCGCTTATGATAAAAAGATAAACATAGGCTGTGTTTATCTGCCCCCTCATTCTCCATCTGAGAACTATATTGAACACTGTAACGCTATCGATACATTAGATATTGATTCTAACGACTTAACTTATATTTTCGGTGATTATAATTTGCCAAAAGTTGTGTGGCACAATGATACTATAGGCACGTCTGCTTTATCTGCAGACGACTGTTTAAAAGAGATTTCTGATAATGCGCAAATTATTTCTAACACATGTAGTTTATATAATTTACATCAGCTTAATAATATAAAAAATGATAATCAACAAATATTAGATCTGTGTCTTTTTTCTGATTTGAATGCTTCAGTGTCGAAACATAATGATCCTCTTGTTAAATGCGATAAACATCACCCTGCCTTGATAGTTTCCTCTAATTTATCATATGAAACACAGCCAGTTAACTTTACATTTTCTCAACCAACTTTCGATTTTAAACACGCTGATTTAGAAAAGATTGATTCCGATTTGTTCGATACTGATTGGTCAGTTTTGAATACACTTTCTACAGACGCAGCGATTGAACACTTTTATTCTGTCATTTATAACTTATTCGAAAAGCACATACCAAAAATTACCCATGAAATAAATAACTCAAAATCTTTCTTTTTTGACAAAAAATTGATATATTTACATCGTTTAAAAAGACAAGCGCATTTTAGGTTCAAAACAACAGGGTTAATAGCTGACAGAATTGAGTTCTCAAGACTACGAGCTGAATGTAAAAAACAACTGCGTAAAAATAATAACAAAAAAATCGATAATCTTGAAAAGTCAATTTATGCAGATATTAAATCTTTTTGGAGATACGTAAATAGTAAAAAATCAAATCATGGTCTTCCGAATATAATGCTTCTTAATGATAGAACTGCCTCAAACTACTTGGATATTGTTAATTTATTAGCTGATCATTTCGATTCATGCTATGTTACTCCTGCCGATAATATAACATCGGAAAATTTTGATGTTTNAAAAATTAGAAGAAGTGGCTGATTTTAGATACCTAGAAAGTCAGATAAGTCAGAATGGAAGGAGTAGTAGGCATATAAAGCAGAGGATAGCGCAGGGTCGTGTCGCCTTTAATAAAAAGAAGTCACATCTATACTCGCGAACAGTTAATTTAGAAATTCGAAAAAGGTTGTTAAAGGTGTATGTTTGGAGCACGGCGTTCTATGGGTGCGAAACATGGACAGTGGGCGCGGCGGAAAAGAAAAGGTTAGAAGCGTTCGAAATGTGGTGTTATAGGCGAATGATGAGGATAACGTGGAGAGAAAAGGTTAGAAATGAAGAGGTATTGGAAAGAATA